GCAATTGGGCCATAATTGGTAATAATAACAGCTAACAAAGAATGTTGAGGCGTGGCTTTCGAATGAATCATCATTATGATGTTTCCATTAGCCTATGTATATCACTTTTATTCTTTTCCCCACTCTATACTATAGTTTCCAACTTTTTCAAATATTTGAAGGAAAAATAAATAAAAACGTTTTATGGAATATAAAAGGTAAAATTTTGGAATGGAAAAGAAACAAAATTGCGTTACAAAGTAAAATGGTAGATTAACAAAACCAAATCATAATTTGAAGCAAGAATTTTAAATGGTCTCAGTGATAAAATCAGCTACACAAATACAAAGGGGGCGAAATTGAATAGTTCAAAAAATATGGGACCTACTAGATTTTGACCCACACCAAGCGTGGAATTAAATATTTAAAGATATTTTGAATCGATCTTAATACTTAGATGTGTATTATAATATTTATAAACGTACAAAATGATATATATTTTGCATAAATGTAATAAAGTTAAATTTTGATCAAATATATTTTGATGTCATTGTTTTGATCAACTTTGCATAAAAATATTAAAACTAATACAAATGTTTAAATTTTTTGGAAGTGTAAAATCAATTTTTATTATTTGTGTAAATAAAGTATGCGATAAATCAATTGAATCTTTAAATTTTATGAATTTATCGAACATAACAAAAGAAAAATATATGTTTTTCAATAATAAAATGTAAAATTATTTGTAAGTGTAGTTACCATCTACAAATAAATAATGTTGTTACAAATATAATAATGAAAAGTTTCTTAATATATCTAATTTTAGAAAGAAAAAAATGATATGGTAAGTCTAAATATTATGTTTAGTTAAATTTAAATTTCTAAAACATATATTAATGGATTTATGTTATAAAATTAATAAAAACATATAGATTTCCACCATAATATATAGTTTTGAATTTTAATATAAAGATTTTTATTGATTAATTTAAATGACATGTTTTTGAACAATAATTTTTACTTATTATTTTGTTTAATGAACTATATTGTTACGAGTTTAATAACTTTCATTAAATTTTTTTTAAAATCCTCTTAGAATGATACCTAAAATTTTAATATAGTATCTCTTTTATTAATATATAGAGAATATTTCAATTAAAGCCAAGTCGTCGAAGGCGAGAAAAGTAAACGTGACACGTACGACCACCTGGCTGACACGTAGGCATCCCTTTGCTTCGAAAAATGCATAATACTACAGATGAAATTTGAAAGATATTTGTGACGTTGAATATAAAATCAAAGAAGGTTGTTGTGATATAAATTGTTAGGTACTACTACTATGATTCGATCTAGAGTAGTTTGGCACATTATTATGGACTTTTAATTACAGAAATTTTCTTTTCACAAATCGTCAAATATAATTGTAGGCTCTGAAATATGATTCTTATATAGTTTTTGATTAAAAAAAAAAAATTAAACACCTTAAAACTACGAAAATATCAGGTGAACTATTTATTTTCAAAACTAAAAATTGAAAAAAAAAACCATTCGGCAATTTTTTGTTTTCTGACATTTTAATATCCAATAACTTTCACCAAACAAACACATTATAGAAAACAGTGGTCGAAAATTTCTAATTTGTTTTATACACCAAAATTATATTAATATTTATATTATGATTAAGGGTGTTGTATTAACTACCCTTTTAGCAGAAAATGGTTAAATCAGAAACTAAATGGACTAATAATTGAGAAATATTGAAAACAAAGACCCAACTAATAAAACAAAATTTGGCTAAGTCGAAGTCGTGGGAGAATAATGGGGACGGATAGGTCACGTGGCAACATTTTATAGGTTTAAAAAACGACCAGCCCGCGGTATTTTAGATCCAGTTGACGTTAATGAACCGAGACAGTAATCCGTCTAGGTTCCTTCTTCTTCTTCCACAATATAATAATTTCCTCACACACCTCTAGAGAGAGAAAGAGTCCGCTTTTAGGAGAGAGAAAGCTTGGTTTAGGAGAGAGAAAGCTTGATACAGAGAGAGAGAGTTTTGTGATGATGATGATGAGTCTGAGAAAAGGAGGAGCAGGAGGAGAGAGACAAGAGTACAACGTTGTTCATAAGCTACCTCACGGAGACAGTCCTTATGTCCGAGCGAAACATGTTCAGGTACGAATTTGTGATTTGGTCAAATGGAATTTAAAATTTGTGATAATCGATGATTGATTTTGAAAATTTGGGATTTGAATTTGGGAAATATGTTTTTGGTCAGCTTGTGGAGAAAGATGCAGAAGCAGCGATTGAGTTGTTTTGGAAAGCGATTAAAGCTCGAGATAGAGTTGATAGTGCTCTTAAAGACATGGCTTTGTTAATGAAACAACAAAACAGAGCAGAAGAAGCCATTGACGCTATTCAGTCTTTTAGAGATCTTTGTTCTAGACAAGCTCAAGAATCACTCGACAATGTCCTCATCGATCTCTACAAGGTAAAATAAATAAAAACTCTTAGACCGACACAATTCTCTTGTCTGGTTATTGTTGTTATGATTGTAAAATTGACAAAGTTGGGATTTTTAAATTTTGAGCAGAAATGTGGGAGAATAGAGGAACAAGTTGAGTTATTGAAGCAAAAGCTTTGGATGATATATCAAGGAGAAGCATTTAATGGTAAGCCAACAAAGACAGCGAGATCTCATGGGAAGAAATTTCAGGTCACTGTTGAGAAGGAAACCTCTAGGATTTTGGTAAGATAATCTTCAGTTTTTGATTTGATTTATGAAGTTTATTATTGATCAAGTGTGCTGATTGGGAATGAACGTAATTTGTGTTATAGGGAAACTTGGGATGGGCTTATATGCAGCTAAAGGACTATACAGCAGCTGAAACTGTGTATCGAAAAGCTCAGTTGATAGAGCCAGATGCAAACAAGGCTTGTAATTTATGCACATGTCTCATCAAGCAAGGGAAACACGAAGAGGCGAGATCGATTCTGTTTCGTGATGTATTACAAGAGAACAAAGAAGGGTTTGGTGATTTGAGGTTGAAGGATCGGGTTCAAGAGCTGTTGAGTGAGCTAGAGCCACGGAAAGAAGACGAGGAAGAAGAAGCGGTTTCCGCTTCTGTGTCTTTGGAATGTGAAGTCGGTATGGATGAGATTGCGGTTGTGGAAGGGATTGATGAGTTTGTGAAAGAATGGAGGAGGCCTTATAGGACAAGAAGACTTCCTATCTTTGAAGAGATCTTACCACTGAGAGATCAATTAGCTTGTTGATGTTTCTCTTGTGTTTGGATTGAATGCTTTGAATACTGAATAGGAACTCTCTTTTTTTGTGTAGAAGAATGTTAGTGAATATAGTTTACTTCTTGTAAGCTGTTTTTGGTGTTGTGTTTAACTTGTTATCACTGTAATTTCAAAAGAATCACATTCCAAATACTTAATGGTATTTTCCATAAATATAGAAACAATATAAGATAATGGTCAATTTAGTTAGATTTAGAGGATTGGGAGGAATCATAAACTGATCCATAGAATTTTAGTTTACAAAACCATAAATGCCTAACCTATAATAAGCAACAACCAAAAAAAGCTTCAATCTGTCTTTGAAACATTTGATCTCCTAAGGATCATTCTCGGTACGAGTCAATTTCTTTGCCTAAAAGAAAATGAAAAAAAATATAAAAGAGAGGGAAGAAGAAAAACAGAGAGGATAACTATACCGGGAGGAGTTCTAATCAGCTTAATAGCAATGTGGTTCTGATAAGTCGCACAGGATCGAGTTTTAAGTACACTTGAAGCCATGGCAAACCGACAAGATGATGATGAGAATCAAAGCGACGACGATGCCAAAAACTACAAGCTTTATCTTCATGTTGTCGAACCACATTTTTCTTTTCAATTTTGTTCCTTGTGTTCTAAAATCTTGCGCCTTTTAAAACATTCATAAAACCAAGAGCATGATCCATGCGTGTGTTACCACTTTATCCAATTATGTAATTTACATGTAGTGTCTATGCGGTGTTTAGAGCTGTGGTTTACTAACCTGTGAGCGAAGGTTTTCAGTTTTGTCTACTAATAGCTCGATTTTCTCACCACGGTCAAGGACCTGCCACATAAATGAATTGCATAAAACACATTCAGCTTGCACAAGAGTATTATGTTTTGGTCTTAGAGGACGTCTACAAAAAATATTACCTTCTCAATGTTCTCCATCATAACACCTTTCACTTCAGTCACTTGAGCCTTAACTTTGGCAAGTTTGCTAATTTCCTCAGGATGATCCACACAGTATTGCATGTGCTCCTTCAGTTTAGACCTTCGTTACAACAAAAACAAGTTTAAAAACACACACACAAAGATGATACAATTGGAAGCCGATTTTAAAATGTCGAAAGAGTACCCAAATTCTCTGTTCAAGCTATTAGCTTTAGCAGTGGAAGCCTTTCCACCACCATATCTCTTGCTGAAATCCTCCTTGACTCGCTCCAAGAAAGCCATTGGTATCTGCCTCCCAGCAGATT